TACTTCCGTAGTGACACTGCCTCGGAAACCCAAGGAGGGGTTGCTATGAGTCGGGGCCGACTCGATGGCACATAACAACAACAACAGTTAGCTAAGACATAGGGCTATGATGATAGTACTTACCTAGATGCTCAGAAGCCTTGATTTGTGAATCAGATATGATGCCAGTGCTTAGTCCCATTGGCATCTTACATTCTATGAAAAAACAAACAAAAAGCATAAATTTTGGTTAGAAAATCCATATAACAAAATAAAAGCTCCATGGCTAGAGATTGTATCTCTAGTGGGTCAGTAATGAAATATTATCATTTACCTTTTGTAGCACTAACTTAAATATGTCTGATCATAAAATGGTTAATGCACTAGAATATTGGAGTTTTGATAGAAATGATGATGACACTCTAAAGAAAACCAACTGGAATGAGGCTGATTTTTTTTCCCCAACTATCACCACTATGTATTTATTTTCAGAAATTCTTTTTATCACCCCAAACAGAAATTCTATACCCATTAAGCAGTAATCCCCCATTACTCCCTCCCTCCAGCCACTGGTAACCAATAATCTACTTTCTGAATTTGTGCATTTTTGAATCTAGATTTTTTTATATGTAAGTGGAGGAAATGCAATGAATTCTTAAACTGATTTCCATCTGTTTGCATCATAAAGCAAATCATTTTATAACATGAAGTGCTATCTCTCATGAGTCTACGTTCTCAAAAGTTCACCTGAAAGTTACAAGATTTTTTACATCCTGTTCAAGGAAAGGGATACCAGCCACTGTGCTACCTGGATGTTGGCACAGTGCTTGGTATTCCATGGGCACTTAGTAAATGCTTAAAGAATGGATGGATGGATGGATGAATGAGAACTGTATCTCCTGATATTGAAATGCCAAGTGTCTATCTCAGGCTTTGAATTCTTGGTATCTTTTCTCTCCTCTACTCTAGGGACCTAGAGAATCTCTTACCTATATTTTCCCATGTGCAGAGGCAGTGGAAAGCAGTTTCATCTCCCACCACCTGCATGACCTTTACAATGACAGTGTATTGAAAGAATGTACAATGTACACTAGGTAAAGAAGACCCCCTTCCAAAGAGTGTCAGTGGCAAAAGGATGATTAAGTATATAATTGCATGTGGCAAGATCTAATCTTAGATCCAAAAAGGGGAGGGAATGTCTTTCTTCAAAGCTGGGGATAATGACCACAGACTGTCACACACTCTGATCCCATACTGGGTCAAGGGCACCTCCCTCTTTCTCCCTGTCCCCCTTTCCTACGCACTCTAGTACATAAACCCCTTAAAAGATATATAAGCCCTTTGCCCCTTTTTCTTTTATGTATGTGTAAAGGAGATCTGTCAGCTCATCCTGGGATAAGAGGTAAACAAAGACCAATCCAAGAAGAAATCTTACCATACTTCTCTTCATCCCAATTACTGTATAAGTAATCAAAGCTTATGGTTTCACCACTGAGATATGTCAATTATTTGCTGAGAGCTACAGATCTGCACAAACTTACTTTCATTTTTCATTCTTGACTCACTGCACCATGAATTAAAAGTCATGAAAACCAATGCTTTATATTGGTTCCCCAGTTGAAAGAAGTGCCTTTGGACTTAACCATTTGGTTTATTTGTTAGATGATTAATGTACTGGCAGTACAATGAGACCATGGGTCAGAATAAAAGCAATTATGGTTACTAATTATGCCTCTATCACATCAGAATTCTCAGAGTTGAATATTTCTAATTTAAAAGTTGGCAATATATCAGTAACAGGTATTCTATTAATAAAAATATGACATGGCTCTTGAGTGATACCCCTGTCGATGATGAGGAACGGTGTTTGCATCCCTGCTCTCTGATTTTCTCCAACCTCTGTGTCTAGGAGCCACCAGCCAGGTTTTGATGCCTTCATTTCAAGAGTTTTAAACGAACCTAAAACAGAACATGGAAGACAACATTCCATTAGCTGACTATTATCAAAGAACCCTGGGAGCTCTGGTAGCTAGCGCCTAAGGCACTTGACCACTAACCAGAAGGCTGGCGGTTGAAACCCACCAGCCACTCCTCGGAAGGAAGATGGGGCAATCTACTTCCGTAGTGATACTGCCTCAGAAACCTAAGGAGGGGTCGCTATGAGTCGGGTCCGACTCTACAGCACATAACAACAACAACATCAAAGAACCCTGAAATCCCTGTATCACAAGAGGCTCTAGAGTAGAATTTAAGAGTATCTGTTTCTACCTGTCAGCAAGACCAGAGCTGTAAGGGCTAAAAACAAAACATGACCAGACAACAACAGCAAAGTACACAAACATGGCATACACATACATACACTACTAAAAATAACTCACTCCAGGACATCAAAAAATCTCTACCAGCCCTCATTAGACAGAAAACTTCACCAATCTAAATGCAATGTTGTAAGTCAACATACGTAATACACCCTTTGGAGTTTGAAACCATCTAAGCAACTTTGACTGACCTATCTTTGGATCTCAAAAATATCATACTTTCTCTCTCTGTACTGTGTTTTCTTTCTTACATCTCAAAACTCAACTCACTGCTGTTGAGTTGGATCTGATTCATAGAGACCCCTCCTTGGGTTTCCAAGTCAGTATCACTACGGAAGTAGATTGCCCAACCTTCCTTCTGAGGAGTGGCTGGTGGGTTTGAACCACCAGCCTTCTGCTTAACAGTCAAATGCCTTACGTGCTATGCCACCAGAGCTCCTTTCTTTCTTACATTAGAAAATAAAAATAAAAGATCCCCTGTGCTTTCAAATTTTCTATAAAGTTTACATGTTTAGGTAGAGATGTACACAAATTGTGTCAGAAAATCACTGAAAGAATGAAGTTTCTAATACCTCTGATTGTCCATTCTGGTATGTGATATTACCCACTATCAGTTAATCCTTTTAATATACTGCCAACTATAATTGTAGTGAAAATTAATGGCTGATGGTCATCTTCCTCAAACATACTGAAAACAACCTCCGGCCTTCCACTCTCCAGCACAGATATTTCAGTCTGAATATTTAGATGAAGCAGCCAATCCTAGCTTCTCAGTCCATCTCTTGAGCTCAAGGCAGATGGAAAGGTTAACAGACCTGCTAAAAATTGGCGAGAAGATAAAAGGTGGGTTTGCCCTAATCTCCTCTGTTCTTTAAAAAAATGGTTCTTTCTAGATGTATTAGTGAGTCACTGACATATTAAAAAACAAAAAGACTCCCAGTGACATCCTTCCCTTAACCAACTCTGGCTTATTTGGACTTCTGTGCCTACATCTGATATGGAATCTCACAGCCACTCTACCACCCAAAGTCCCAAACTCCTGTCAAGCTCCTTGGATAGCATTTGTAGAAGGTAGGTTGCCTGGTCAAAATGCAGGCTCCTGACACCAGCCCATCCACACACACAGACACACTCAAATCCTATTGTATTGGAGTCTCTGGGAGCAAAATCTCTGCTTTAGCATCTGCATATTAACCAGCTCCCTAGGTTTTTACTATGCTTACTGAAACTTGAGAATCAGTGACATCTAGCATTCATACTCCCACCCACATGCTTACCACACCCATAGACACACATACGAACAACACATTGGCACACAATCCATTTGATGACAGTAGTTTGTTTAAACTTATCAATATTTTGTACATGAAAATTTCTAAATACCAATTTTTTAGGTTTTGCAATTATTTAATTTTTGTTGTTGTTCTTGTTTTGCAAACAGCCTCATGAGTCAGTCCAAGATTATGATTCCCAAAGAGTGTCACTTACCCAAGGATACCCGGGTGATAAAACCAGGAGAACTCAAGAATCCCAAAACCCTAGTAAGTTTTACCTAATTTTTCTTGTTGCCAGAGAAAGTTTAGCAGTGGGATTCATTTTGCAATGTGGTCCAGACCTGACCTGTGTGACAAACACAATGGCTTGGGAGGAACTGGATTAAACATAGCATTTCTTTACAAGCAGGTTGACCACAGATTTAGCCTGTGTGGTGCTGCAAACAATTCATCAATAGTTGAGTATTATTATTTTTACTCTGTATACAGTTTTGGGGGAGCTCTGGTAGCATAGTGGCTAAGGCACTTGACTGCTAACCAGAAGGCTGGCGGTTCAAACCCACCAGCCACTCCTTGGAAGGAAGGTTGGGCAATCTATTTCCATAGTGATACTGCCTCAGAAACCCAAGGAGGGGTCGCTATGAGTTGGGGCCGACTCGACGGCACACAACAACAACAACAACAACATACAGTTTGGGAGGGAGCCCTGGTGGTGTAGTGCCTAAGGCATTTGACTGCTAACCAGAAGGCTGGTGGTTCAAAACCACCAGCCACTCCTTGGAAGGAAGGTTGGGCAATCTATTTCCATAGTGATATCGCCTTGGAAACCCAAGGAGGGGTCTCTATGAGTCGGATCTGACTCAACAGCAGTGAGTATATGGTTTACAATATGACTTTATCCAAGATCTATGCCAGAACTTGGTTTCTGGCCTGTTAGGAAGTAGATACACAAGGAGGAGGTAGTGAGGTGGAGTTACGAAGCTAAGATTGCCTCCTCTCGCCATGTCTTAGCAGGGCCCTCTTTACATTGCCCAGGGCTTTACCAGGCAGAAGGGGCCAGACCCCTAACTGGTGCTGTTGGGTGCCATTTTCCAGCAAGGTCTGGCCATGAAAGTGAACCACGTGAATGTCTTGGGAGCTGCCCATGTTCAGCAAGTGCAGTCTCACCCACTCTTGCTCGTACATCATCAGGCCTGGCAAGCGGTAGATCATCCCATTAATGGCTGAAAGGACAGAGAGTTGCAATTAATTAAAAATATGTATACACTGGGAGGGAGGCTAGCTAGTAAGGAATTAGCATCCTACTCACCACTCATCTCCCTCACTACTCCACATTCCAGACCTATACAGCTATAGAAAGGCCTCCTCCCTGCATGCCATAATATCAGTGAGAGGTTAAAATTGAACCTCCAGCTCCTTGTCCCCTGGCCCACATCATATACTAGCCTACAGCAGAAGTGTGGGTGAGTTACTTCCAAGCAGATTATCACTCTTTACCCAGATTTCATACTTCTGCTCCATACTTAGGAACTCTGGTGGTACAGTGGTTAATTATTTGGCTGCTGAGGAAAAGGTCAGCAGTTCAAAACCACCAGCTGCTCCACAGGAGAAAAGTGAGGTGTCTGCTTTCATAAAGATTAACAGCCTTGAAAACCCTATGGGGTATTTCTATTCTGTCCTATAGGGTCACTATGAGTTGGAGTCAACTCGTTGATAGTGGGTTTGGTTTGGTGGCTCTGTGTTTGGCCCACTTCCCTTTCGCATCTGTAGTACCAATTTTCACTTGCTACAAAAGCTTAAGATGGGTAGATAAACAAACTTAGTGGTTAAGGGGAAAGAGGATATGCAGCATGACATCCTAAGGCCTCCTAAATTCAGAGATAGTTCCAGGCAAAATTAGGAAGTTAGAATTTATCTTTGTGCACCCACCAATCTAGTGATTCTTATTAATTTTCTCCTTGGTAAAGTAGCTCCTCTGTCCTTTTCCATGCTGCAGGCTTTTTGCACTCAGAGGATTATGTGTACTTTTAAAAAATCACCTGGTAAACCTGATCACATTAATAATATAATTAAAATGTTCAATGATAATGCTTACTGCTTAAGCATTTAACTGAGAGTAGGGTAAGAGAAGGTTGTGTTTTGTTTTGTTTTTCCCCTTATGTTAAAGGAATTGAGTGGAATTTCAGGAACCAGGCATGTGAATTTTTGGAGAGAAAGGAGTAGGGATAATTTTGGCACCCTCAGAATTATATCCTTTAAGGGAACATGTATCTACATACTCGTAACACCAGTCCTCATCCTCTCATTTTTGTTTCTGTTCAAGAAATACATCTCACAAGTGTGAATGGCATCTCAAGTGATGATTAGGTCAGGATTGCTAAATACTGAATCACAACATGGAAACGAAGACCTTCAGCAATGCAGATGCCCAGTAAATATACAATAAATTGAGTTGAATGATATAATCCAGTCATTTGTTTGTTCATTCTACACATATTTACTGAGCATATACTGAAAAGTCCAGGCACTGAGCTAAGGGCTGGGTACTCAGGTACTAAACTCATTGCCATTGAATTGATTTGGACTCATAGTGACCCTAGAGGACAGAGTAGAACTTCCCCATAGGGTTTCCAAAGCTGTAAATCTTTATAGAAGCAGACTGCCTCATCTTTACCAGCAGCTGGTGAGTTCAAATCACCAACCTTGTGGTTACCAGCCAAATGCCTTGACCACAGTGCCAGCAAATCTTATACTCAGGCACTACATGAGGGGAACTACCAAATTGCATGGAATTCACCTACAATACATTTAAAACTAAAATGATACTGAGTGCATTTTACTCTTTCTTTGAGGAATCAGGGAGCAGTGCTTGTAAATGGCACAGCCAAGAGACACCAAGCCTGTCTGATTCCACAGCCTGTGCTTTTCCCTAGGTTGAGAGGTTTTGAAGGGTGTGCTTCCCACTCTTGAGAGGCCTAGAGACAGTAGAATAGGAGAGAAGAAAGTGCTGTTTGGAGTCTATTGTTAGACTGTCTTAATGGTTTTACTCTAGATCGTTTAATATAATTTTTAAACTTTGTGTTCAACAGGGTCTATTCTTAGTAGGTAGAAAGGAAGGCCTGGTGATGCACTTCAGAAATATCAGCCAGTGAAAACTCTATGGGTCACAACAACCCATAGAAACAAAACCAAACAAACAAAACCCAAATCCACTGTCACAGAGTGGATTCTGAGTCATAACGACCCTATAGGACAGAGTAGAACTGCCCTGTAGAGTTTTCAAGGCTGTAAATCTTTAGGGAGGCAGACTGCCTCATCTTTTTCCAGTGGAGTGGCTGGTGGGTTTGAACTGCTGACCTTTTAGTTAGCCCAGTGTTTTAACTACTATGCCAATAGAGCACCTTACCAGAAACACAAACCAAAAAAACCAAACTCACTGCTGTCGAGTCGGATCTGACTCATAGCGACCCCTCCTTGGGTTTCTGAGGCAGTATGAATCGGGTTTGACTCGACGGCACATAACAACAACAACAACATCACTACAGAAGTAGATTGCCCAACTTCCTTCTGAGGAGTGACTCGTGGGTTTGAACTGCCAGCCTTCTGGTTAGCAGTCAAATGTCTTAGGCACTGTGCCACCAGAGCTCCCAACCAGAAACACAGGTTGCCTCAGATAATTAATCTCAGAGGAATCACATCCATTGATCAAACTCTGAAAATAGTGTTTATTAGTCCTTTCCCCCCACCCCAATCCCTGAGTCATTCTCTTTCCTGTTCTCCAAATCCTAAATTCTGCTTTTTTCTAAAAACTGCTTGTAATTCAGTTGCTAATTCACAGGCTAAATTCCTGAATAGATTTCAGAATAAGCATACTTTGCCCAGTGTTATTACCAAATACTCTCCTGCCACTATTCTCCCATCATCTGGGTACACAGTATCCTCTCATTTTGTTCTCATACGCTATGCATACTATCTGGGAGCTGCTGAGAGCTAGCACTCTTAGAGTTGTTCTTATTTTAGAGAAGACACGTGGACCATCATTTATTCTTTACCAACAGCAGACTGTAACACTTGCTCCTTTAGAGATCATGTAACTTGCTTATTAACTTTTAATAAGCAGAGTAGTATCAATCCCTTCTTAATGTGTAGGTCTATGGTGGCATAGTTGGTGTGGTAGTTAAGTTTGTGTGTCAACTTTGCTGGGCCTGGTTGAGTGGCTGGGCAGCTAGTTGTAGCATTCCCCATGATGAGACCAGCAAGCAACTCTATGGTGGAATCTACTGTGAGCAGCTGAGTAGCTGCCCTAGGGATGTGGTCTGCTTCCTATGTGTAAGGAGAAGCCTTCGGGAATTGTCTCTAGCTTATGGCACACTTGAACCCTGCATATAGCCATGTTGTTGTTCAGCAGCCTGCCATGCTCTGCTGACCTTGGGATTGTCAGTGGACTTGAATTAATGGCCTGCCATGTGGTTTGGTAACATCAGGACTGTGCCTTTTTACTTGTCAGTAAGTAAAAGTGAGTCTGGGTGTGTTCAAACTGCCAACCTTTCATCTACTAGTCAAGTAGATGTCTTGTCAGGACTTGTCAGTCTCAACAGCCAGCCGCGGTCTGAGTGAAGAAAAGCCTCTAGCTCCAGTGGGCCGGCAGCAGGAGGCAGAGCTGAAGCCCAAGGTTGAGGGGCTTTCATCCAGCCCCTAGAGCTTGGCACTTTGTACTTGGACTAACAGCCTCCAAACTGTGAGAGAATAAACTCCTGCTTGTTAAAGCCATCCCATTTGTGGTATATTCCTGTCAGAGTGGCACTAGATAACCAGAATACTTGGTAAAGCATTTGGATGCTAACCAGAAGGCCGGTACTTCACATCCACCAGCTGCTCCATAGGAGGATAAGGAAATCTACTTCCATAAAGATTTACAGCCTTAGAAACCCAGTGGGGTTTACTATGAGTCAGATTCAACTCTTTGGTTTTCTTAATATGTTGCTAACTTAAGTATCTGGTGTTCCTGGGTGACACAAATGTTTAAGTGCTTGATTAGTAGATGAAAGGTTGGCAGTTTGAGCCCACCCACATGCACTTTGGAAAACAGGCCTGGTGATCTGCTTTCAAAATCCTTGAACACCCTACAGAGTAGTTCTACTCTGCACACATGGGTTCAATTCTTTCTCAATAGCAACTAACAACAACAATTTAAGCATACTGGTGTTTTTGCTCTTGTTTTGCATCATACTTAGTGTTCCAGGAGCTCGTTTTAGTTGCAGCTCCTGGCTCCTCATAGTATCTCATGCTTAATCTGGTAAAGAGGTAAGTGGCAGGAACGCCCATGACTCGGTTGGCTTTAATTCAGAGATTAGATCAAAGTCAGAGGAAAAATACCATGAAACTCATGGGAGTTTTCTGCTTCTGAGGGTGAGAGTGTCCAAGACCTTTTGGGCTTCTTTTCATAATACCAGCTCTTCTTTTCATCAAATACCATAAAAAGTAAGACAAATTCTCTCATGTCCACAGGCCTGTTGCTCTCCTTGTGCAGTGTTCCTTTTCGGCAGATGAGCAGGGGACCAATCAAGCCAGAATGGATGTCTTTTTCCTGGAAGACAACAAGAGCAAACTGCATGTGTCCTCTCTTTCTCAGAGTTATCTTTGCTCTTCTGACAATCACCCATCATATGGAAGAGGAAACTTTCTTAGAGACTCCAAATTTGAAGATTATAAAGAAATAATTTAGTAGGCCTAAATATTTATCATCTGATTCAGTTGTGTTCACATTTTCTTCCTCTGACTAACGCTTTACTCCAGCACAGTAGCAATGACGATAGTGATAATGATGTTAACAATAATAGAATGGCTTCTAATGCACTGAGCATCTATCTACTTGTATGTTATATGATTTGCTCATAGTATCTCATTTAACTCTGATAATAATCCTGTATGGTAAAAACAAGTTCATTTACTGAACAAATTATTACCCAAAGTAGCCACTATGTGCTATGCCCTGTTTTCTTATTTTTAACTTAGGTAACCAAAGCTGACAGAGGTTCAAATAACTTTTCTAGGGTCACAGTAAATGCCAGGGCAGGAATTTAAATCTAAGACCATTGTTCTCTCCACTATGCCTGAAATAAAGGAGTCTTGACTTTGCAGTTCTTTTTTCATAAAGAACAGAAGAAAACTAATACTCATGGAAGGAAATTGTAAGTAAACATCTTCCTCTGAAAAAAGTAGTCTAAACTGGAGTCATCTATTTAAGTAATCCTCACTTCTCTCCACTGAACAAATATTTCTTTCTCTGCTCTCTGAAGGGCTGCATGCAGTGTCTTGGTTATAGCAGTTGTAGACTGTTGACCACAATCCTTACACAATCCTCATGAAAAGCAAGACCTCAGACATTTAACAAGAAATAGTTTTGACTTTGTCATTGGGTCCACAATCCTTACACAATCCTCATGAAAAGCAAGACCTCAGATATTTAACAAGAAATAGTTTTGACTTTGTCATTGGGTAGACTCAGGTTATAAGGTCAGGGTAATGACAGAAGCTTTTGAGGTTGTACCTACCGGGTTCACTGCAGAATAGTAAGCCCACGCCCGACAGGGTGAGCCAGGATTTTCTGGCCCCGATCGCTCAGTGGCATGCCATACATACGTATAAGTGCTGTTTGGCTGAACAGCATTATCTTCCTTAAACCATTCAGGCGATTCATCATCATAACTCTTTCCCTCTGATGACTTTTCATAGGAAAGTCCATGAGCATGAAGAGAATATGGTCTGGATGCTAAATTTTTAAAACGAACCTAGAAAAAGGAATGATCTGCAAATGTACTTAAGCTTAACAAAAATCCATACTGAAAAAATGTCAGTGTTAAAGGTAAACCAACCCACCAACCAACCAACCAACGAGGAGCCATCCAATTGATTCCGACTCATGGAGACCCCATGTGCTTCAGGGTAGAGCTGCACTTAGGGTTTTTAGTGTCTGTGACTTTTGGAAAATAGATTTCTAGAATTTTCTTCCCAGGCTCCTCTGGGTGGATTTGAACTGATTAGTGGCTGAGCACTTTATTATAGGCCAAAAGGGATGGTTATTAAATCATACTTAAGAGACACTGCCATTGGGTGGACTCAGGTTATAAGGTTAGGGTAATGCTAACAATTGCAAAGTAACTTATGTGGATTATTTAATTTAACAGCCATCCTATGAACAAAACATGTTTGTTCTTAGGCTCCAGACTAAAGTATTGACATTATCAACAAATGAAATTATAGTAATCGGTACTGGAGAGTCAAAGATAAATGAGGTTTGGTTCCTGATTGTGCATGGTATGATTTCAGGCTGGTAAGCTTTCAAACTACTGATGAAGAGAGACATGCATATGTGTGTTCCAGCTACAAATCTGGAGACAATGAAAAATTTCTCAAGGGAATGGCATTTGAGTTGGCTCTTGAATAATGGAGAAGGACTCAGCAGAAGAGCAGCAACATTCCTGCAAGAAGAGGAGGAAAGAAACATTTGGGGGACAGTAAGGATCTGGGAGGAGCTCTGGTAGCATAGTGCCTAAGGCACTTGACTACTAACCAGAAGGCTGGCGGTTCAAACCCACCAGCCACTTCTTGGAAGGAAGGTTGGGCAATCTACTTCCATAGGGATACCACCTCAGAAACCCAAGGAGGGGTCACTATAAGTCGGGTCCGACTTGATGGCACATAACAACATAACAATAACAACAACAAGGATCTGGATGTGGCTGGGTTGTAGAGCCAGCAAGGGTGAGGTGGGACCTGGTAATACATGAGACTGGAAAAAGAGCTTGGGATCAGATGGTGAAACTAGTTGCTGTTGAGTCAATTCTGACTCATGGTGACTCCATATGTACAGAGTAGAAATGCACTCCACAAGACTCAAGGCTGTGATCTTTTGGAAGCAGATTTCTTCTGAGATGCCTCCATTTGGATCTGAGCCATCAGCCTTTTAGTTAGTAGCCAAACGCTTGACCATTTGTGCCATCCTGGAAAAGCAGCTTAGAATCAGATGGTAAACGAAAAAACCTAACTCACTACCATTGAGTAAATTCTGACTCATAGCGACCCCCTTTGGGCTTCCAAGGCTGTAATCTTTACAGAAGTAGATTACCTGGTTTTTCTTCCACCGAGTGGCTGGTGGGTTTGAACCACCAACCTTCTGGTTAGCAGTCAAATGTCTTAGGTACTACACCACCAGAGTGCCTCAGAATCAGAAGGTAGAGGACCTTAAATGTCATGTGGGGAATCTTTGTACTCAGTCAGACTTATTTAGGATACTCCTCCTAACCCTTCTCTTCTACAGCTTATGTTGATTAAAAATTCCCTAATCAGAAGAGTAAATACTATTGCTTCCCATATCTTCATGGTACAATTGGTATAATTAAGATCTTTGTATTCTTACTTGCCTATTTGTATTTTTTTAAAGGAGCAAATATTTACTGAAAATTCTGTTGAATGTGTAAATAGGTATTTAAATTTGGAACCTGAATAGTTTACTTTAGATTCAAGTGCACTTTCCTGTCTTTTTCCTAAGTGAGAAGTTAGAAAGGATGGGGGAAGTAAATTCTGATTGGCATAAAAGCTGGCTGCAGGCCTGGTGTGGCACACAGGATTTTGAAGAAAATGACCAGGATTGGGAATACGTAGGAAACTTAATTTAGGGCTTATATTTCCATCCAAAGGCACGGAAACACCTTTACTTCTCTACTTTTCTTTAACTTCATTTTCTTTCTTTTTTTTAAGTAAACATTACTGCTAATACCACCAGGACTGCCATCACTGCTGCCATTATTAAGAAACCCAATTGAATAGTTCCTGAGTATATACACTTTCTCTTTCAGTGTCAGATAGGAATTGCAGTGGAATTTACCCCAGGTTATATAGTTTTTAAGTTTCTTTAAATTGTAAGGTCATTATTTTTGTCATGAAGATTGCCAAATTGTTTGGTAAAGAGTCTTTGAAAAAAAAAGTATGTATTTGTAAATTCTGAAAATAAATCAAAGTCCTAGTTAGAATGCGTAGAAAATGTAGAACAAAATTCAAAGTTAAAAAAAAAAAAGACCAGACTTACTGGTCTGAAAGAGACTAGAGGAACTCCTGAGACTATTGCCCTGAGACAACTTTCTAATTTGAAACTGAAGACACTCCTGGAGGCTGCCTTTCAGCCAATTAATAAATGGGCCTATAAAAGAAACAGTAACATCTGAGAAGATTGTGCTCCTTAGAACAATGAACTACAGGAGACCAAAAGGGCAACATTTGTCCAAAACCAAAGATGAGAAGGCAAGAAGGGACAGGGAAACCAGACCAATGGAAACGGGGAACCCAGGGAAGAAAAGGGGAGAGTGCTGACCAATTGTGGGGAATACAACCAATATCACAGAACAATATGTGTATGAATTATCGGTTGGAAAACTAATTTGCTGTATAACTTTCATCTGAAGCACAAAAAAATATAAAAATAAATAAGTCAATTCTAGCTCTCTTCCTACTTTTCACCTTTATAACATTCTGATGTTTTCAGAAATTCTTCCAACGCTCAGAGATGACTTACTTGGATAACGTCACCCACTTCAGCTCTGATAACAGGACCAAGAATCCCAAGATGTTCTTCATACTCCCCCTGAGGATCACGATCGGTAAAAGTGCTATCAAGATACTTTCGAAAAATAACTTTCTTGTATATGGTGTTCTTCGGAGCATGATCAGCGTCTTCATTATCCATTTCCATTTCACTGAGAGGATAATGATAGCTTTAGTTTAAAAGAAGAAACTAAAGACTTCAAATTTAGGAAATTGTCTGTTTCTGAAAAATAGTGCCTAGCAGAGATAAGGTTTTCAATAAATACTTAATGAACAAATGAATGAAAAGAAAAACACAAGCTAGAGACTATTCTTCAGCTCCCAGCACACACGTCATTTCTTAGGTAAATCTTCCCATGACCCTCTAGACCAGATCAAATTCTCCTGTACCATCCTTTACATTTCTATAGTATTATTAGTGTGTGTGTGTGTGTGTATAAAACATTCTTTTCCTACATAACATATATTAAAAAAAACTCCAAACCAAACTTACTGCCATAGAGTCATTTCCAGCTCATAGTGACCTCCACTGGGTTTACATGGCTGTAACATATATGTGTGTGTCTATATATATATATATATATCATACACATATATTTTATATATAAGTAGATGATAGGTAACATTTCTATGGCATTCCTATTGTTGTTGTTATGTGCCGTCGAGTCGGCTCCGATTCATAGCAACCCCTCCTTGGGTTTCTGAGGCAGTATCACTACGGAAGTAGATTGTCCAACCTTCCTTCCGAGGAGTGGCTAGTGGGTTTGAACCGCCAGCCTTCTGGTTAGAAGTCAAGTGCCTTAGGCACTATGCTACCAGAGCTCCCTGGCATTCCTATAGAATTGGAATTCCTATATAATTTATA